TAACTTATGTATTAATAGACTTTGGAAAAAAACCGTGTTTTAACGACCCATGGTGGGGGGTCAGTGGAGAACTGACTTATATCAATATAATAAAAAATGTGGATTGAACAAATTTGTGTTCTCAACTTTCTCTGATTCCGGCTGTTTGTTTATTGGGAGACTTTAGCGGGTGATGGAACGGTGGCTGAACACAAATATCTCCCGGAGTGGTTTTAATATTATATATTTCTTCATTATCTTTGTTCTTTTTTCTTCTCTAACCAGCTGCCAGCCAGATATCTCCATATTTGGGGTTAGGAGAAATTTGTCTGATGTTTAAGCTCCAATGTTTCTGTCCTGGTTCAGATGATAAATCAAACTTAATGAAGATCCGCCGTGATTCAAATTCTTGTAAACTTGGAGAAATTCTTGTAAACTTGGAGCATGTCAGCCATTTTATTTTTCGTCGCCTTTTTTTCCATCCTTGGGCGTCATTTATTATTTTTCTCTTGGTCTCAAGTTTTAATGAATCTTGATTTTTAGCAGTTTTTACCCGGATTTTAAACAATACATTAATTTTAATGAGACAGTTTAAATTTTACAGGTCTTTAACCTTTGCTTTCTTTTCGTTTTACTTAATTATTTCACATAAACTTAATAGACATTCTATCATTTTAAGGTTAGCTATAAACTACCAAAGCTGGGAACTTTAGAATGTTGGATATCAAGATCAATGCTTGATCCTCTCTTTTTCTTAATCTCGATACTAACCTAATCTTGAACTTGAATCCTGAAAAGTGTATAAAATTCGACCAATCAAAGTCTCTCATATCAGAAGCCGGGAAATTTGAAATTTTGCGCGCCATTTCAGACTAATATATAAAAACGGAGGGGACTCTAATTTTGAAAAGCAGGTTTTTGATTTGTATGTACTATATATCCAAAAAAGAGTGGATTATGCAAGAAATTAAAAGTGTTCACATTGGATATTCGGATTAAGCAGTCGGGATTAAAGGTATCCCATTATTAAGTTCCCAGCTCAAGTTCATTGCATTAAAAAACTTTAGATCTTTTTTATACACCGGGTTTTGGTCTACAATTAATTATATTACGATATAATTAAAATACTTAGTTAGTATAAAATGCAGGTATAGTATACTGTAAATTCCACATTGAGTTTACAGTTCCTGTGAATGGCCCTCACTAATACGGGTTAACATTGATGGCCCTTCTATCATTAGCTGCCTTCGGGTAGGGTCAACAGATTAAGTATGCTATGCATTCTCAGCCTGTATACATCATGCATGCATAGTAAACCTTGTATTTGCTTAAACCTATAATCTAGACAATCATGCATTAAAACTCATGCACTAAGAGATTAATCAACTGCACTAAAGGGAGTGTCACCATTATTTTAAGCTTTGCCCTTTATAAAAGTTTAACTTTTCTCTATGAAAGTCAAGAAACAAAGAGAGATTACTACTTTATATATGAAGATGCTACACTTTATCATAACCATAACTAGTAGCTTTTTCCACTGAAAGAAAATGGACAAATGCTGATCGGATAAAGAGTTAAAGGACACAGATGTAAATCCGTAATTTATTTTTTAATTTAAAGGAAAATGTGAAATTAGTTGACAAACCCTGAAGGTTTGTTAAAGGTATCAAGAACCAAGTTAAACCCCTTTAAATGTCAAAATCAGAAGTCAATTTGTTTTTTTGCAATCGTCTACTTAAATGCCAATGAAAAGTGTTGGTAAAAAAATATTTTACAACTAACTATTAAACATTAATTTAAGAAATAAAAATGAAATGTTTTTTTTAATATCTGTGGTTTTCAAGTCTCATAGTTTATAGGTTTAATAAGGGTTCTAAACTATGGATCGCTGAATATTTCGCAAAATGAGATATTTCATCATTATTAATATAAATTGACAATGATTTTAAAGATTATGAATTCTCTTGTTAATGAGATGATTTAGCTTGATTTTAGCACAAATACCTAGTTAAAATGTATATGCATGATTAGGCCTGACTGCCTCATTAGGCCTAGGCATCTAATTACAGCAGGGCTTGGAGAAGGGCCTTTAACATTCTTATTATCACCTCTACATGTTTCGCTTTTTTATAAAAATAATCAATTAACTTCCGATGTCATTACATTTGAAACTTTTGAATTTAAGAGCTAAAATCGGGTTTTATTGGTTTAAACCGATTTTCAAAGTTTCAAATGTTTCCAGCTCTTGATTTAACTTAATTGTTGCCATGATGCCGCGTCGCAAATGGTATTTTCCTATTTCTGAATTGAAAGCCAATTGAATTTACACATCAATACAAAGACGAATGTAAAGGGTTCATTTTCTCTAGTTTTTAGAATCATTCTGTATTCTGCATTTGTTGAAGTTCGAGTGTCTAAAAGAGCAACCAAGAATTAGAGGAAGAAAATTCCAGCACGAAATCTTTAGGCATTTAATTCCCTCAAAGCATTTAAAAAAAGACGAAAATGCTAGATTCCAGTCATTGTCACTTGTTGTCCATTTTCATTATCTTTTATTTGAGATTAGAAATTTTAAACTGTTGTTAACCTACTTAACTTACATTGTTTAAACCAAGCTAAGAACCTTTCCGTTGTTTTACCGAGTTCCTCAAAATGTGAGGCAAATCGGTGAAGGGAACTAAACAGACAGAGATTACTATTTTATATATGTTTTTTTACTTTATCAATTTATTTATTTTTAATTTTTTAATGAAACAAATTATTTGATACATGTATTTAATGCAGAATGCAGATAATCATTTTTCCAATCTTCTTGTTTCCTGGCGGTCCTGTTTTGCTCATTCAATTAGCTGCATACCCCCCCCCCCAGGATGTAAATTTATATATGTAAATGTACAAAATATAGATAGCACTTCCTTCTACCCTGAAAGAAGAAAACCTGTCAATTAACAAGATTAAATAAGGGATTGATGACACATTCCAGAAACTCTATTCCCTGAATCCCCCCTCCCCCCCCCCATCTACCCCCGTGCTTATAATACCACCCAGAGTTCAAGAGAACCACATTTTCTAATAAAAAACGGATGAAAAAACTCTCAAACGGATAAAATGAATAATAACTATTTGATGAAACAAAATTTTACAAACAAAATGTAAAAACTTTATCAAATAGTTCATTTGAACACATAATTAAATACAAGCTGTTCAAAGTAAGCAATATTTAAATGAAGGCATTGAACACCTTCATCTTTGCAACTTGATGTTGTTGACCTTTCACATTTCAGACTAAATAAATTCTTCTAGAAAAAGTTTGAAATATAAGGCTTAGACTATTAGATTTAAAAGATAAAAGGGTTTAACAAAATTAACAAAGATCAGCTGAAGAACTAAACTCTAATTAGAGTGAAAACTGAACATATGAACAAACTGTTCATAACAAGATTTAATAGAAATAACTGCGTAGAATGAATTAGAAAATAACAAAATTCAAGGGAAAAAAAGATAAACCCACTTTCTTGTCTAGTGGCCATTAAATTGACATTAAATACTTAAATTAGAAATAGAGATCTAAACTCTAGAGTTTAGATCTAATATAAGGTCATTCATTCATCTGTAACATTCTTTACGGGAATAAACTTAACATCAGGATAAATTTAACATAAGAATTAAATTAACATCAGGATTAAGTTAACATCAGAATTAAATTAACATCAGGATTTAATTAAAATAAGGATTAAATTAACATCAGGACCAATTTAACATCAGGATGTAATTAACGTCAGGATTAAATTAACATCAAGATTAATTTAACATAAGGATTAAATTAAAATCAGGACCAATTTAACATCAGGATAAATTTAGCATGAGAATTAAATTTACATCAGGATTAAATTAACATCAGGATTTAATTAACGTCAGGATTAAATTAACATCAAGATTAATTTAACATAAGGATTAAATAAACATCAAGATTGAATTAACATCAGGATTAATGCAATATCAGGATTAAATTAACATTAAGATTAATTTAACTAAGGATTAAATAAACATCAAGTTTAATGAAACATACGGATTAGATATAGCAATTATGATTAAATTTAAAAATAGGTATAATCCACCTTTTTGAATTCAATCTTAATTCTTGTTTGAACCCCACAACTTATTTTTTTTAATGTTTTATCTTTGTGAAAATGTTTATATTTGCACAGTGCATAGATTAACGTATAAATGCAAAACTGGGGAGAAATTGTAAAGAATGAACTGGAGTACTGTATCTGCAGTGCATAAAAATCTAATGAACAGACGGTGTTTATATCATAGTGACGAGGAGATTTTCTTTACGATCTTTTCATTCAGAGCTCTGTTATAACCCTGAGATAAAATACAGTTGTTTCCTCGTGTATCCATCCTTCAAGTGTTTTTCTCTTGGTTGGAGCAGATTCATTAAACTTGAATACCATTCCTTAATTAAATCTCATTATATCTTAGAACCTTCTTCCTGTTAACATACCATAAACCTAGCTATCCACCCCCCCCCCCTAACCTATGATTAGGACTGTCAGTAGGGGTAGTTATCAGTTCCTATCTTATTTCCGTCCAAAACTATGTCCGCCAACTGAATTTCTAAAAATTCTTTTCAACAAAATTTCAATTCTTACGTTGTCAGCAGTTGTCAGCACCCTGCAAGCAACTTGTTTTCTCTTGGCTATGGAACACAGACGTCCATCAAGGGTTTATAAACTGACTGAGGGGTTAGGATTTAGTACAGAAGGTTTCCCTCTCGTCCCCTGCTGATATCAAACCATTATACTCATGCTCAGGACGGGATGATAACTGCTCATCTCTGAGATATGTAAACCCAGAGCCAGATATTATACAAAATCATCTCCCTATACCCCCACTCCCATTTTCCCACCCCTCCCCCCTCACTTCTGATATATTATGCGTGTTAGGATCATTATTATACATGTAAGATTGGCAACTAGGTTGAAATATTGAAACTCTAACTTCTCTTTGTTTAGGGACGGACGCCTGAGTATCGGAGATGAGATTGTAAACCTGAACGGGAGAAGGTTGAGAGGACTGAAGACGGATCAAGCTCTCCAGGTTCTTGAGGCGTGTGAGAGTGTTGTAGACGCGGTTATATCTCGAACCAACGGCGGAGAGAAGGAAGATTGGGCGGAGGCAAAAAGAAAGTGTAGTGAGTCAGATCTTATAGATCTTAGTGAACCTATTCTTGGTGGAGTTAAAACGGAAATAGCTCCAACTATAATCACTATTGGTGAAGGAGGGACGGATAAGCCTGACTCCGACCTGATCCAAACCACAGTAGACACTCCTCAGGTCACCAGGCATCCTATCCGCCATTCTCTCCGCCAAAAGGTGTCCACCACATCTATCAGGACAGTTGAAACTATTATCTCCTGCGGAGATACGGAAACTCCCTCGGTATCTCGGAAAGTGTCGTGTTCAACTACCTCCACTTGTACGGACTCAGAGGTTTCAAACTTCTGTACATTGCCGCGGAGACATAAAGGTTCTTCCTGTCATACTGTCGTCTTCCAGAAAGGACTTGGGAAAAAATCTCTGGGATTCTCAATCGTCGGCGGAAAGGATTCGGCCAAGGGTAGCATTGGCATATTTGTTAAAACAATTCTTCCGACTGGGCAGGCAGCACAGGATGGACAACTTATGGAAGGTATGCAAAACAGTGGTATAATTGCTATCGGGAGAAACAGGTTTTAATTAAAATCATTGCATTTCTGACCAGGCGTAACTTTTAATCATGTGTTTGTTTGTTGAAAGAATCTAAAGTTTGGGTTTGATTTAAACTGAGGTGCGGGAGGGGTGGGGGCAGTAACTTCCTGTTTCCCTGCAGATTATTAAAGATGATTATTATGTGCACACCCTGTATTGTTTGAGAAGATATAATTTAGACTGCCCATGGTCAAGTCTAGGACAGTTCCACTGATTCTAATCATCTCACAAGTCTTTACAAAACTATAATCATCAACAACAAATTCTCGGCAAAAAAAAATCCTGACCATTTTTTTAATCTTTAGCGGTCAAACTTTAAATGGTTCTTTGTTGCACGACTGCTTTCAGGCAGTTTTAATAGAAATTGAGGTTTTTGGTTTGTGGATTTATTTTGGGAAACTTACAATTGCGGATTTTTCTTGGTTGTTGTAACGTGTTTACTACAACTCATTTGTGGTTAACATTTACAATATATCATCACGTTCTGGCCTTGAAAAGTGCGAAGAAAAGAGTGCAAACTACACAAATCTGAATTCATTTCATGACAGCAGCATCATTCTTCATATTTATTAAACCGTATAGAACGAATTTTAACTAGAAACCAAAAAATAATGTTAAAAGATATATTTATTTAAAGAGATGTTTTTGTTGTTTTACATCAGGTATAATTTTTCCCTAATATCAATAAAGCGTAAATCTTAGCATATAAATTAATGGTGCACACAAGAAATTTTGTTGTTGAACTTTTTAATGAGCCAACCTTAAATATAATATTCAGTGGTTTATCACTAAAACTCCATTCCTCCCGAGTCCGTCCTGTCAATTTACTCCCGTCTCTGGAATTGATTTGAATTGATGATATGAATATCAAGGTTAGGATTATATCTCCAGGTTCGGTTTACATCACCATGAGAACCTGGAGAAATATTAAAGGGAATGTCAACGTTATTTTATGTGACCCTCCATTTAAAGAGGGCCATCGATGATTCACAACGACACTTTTACCTAAACACGATGATTTAGACATACTTTGTCAAAATATTTTTTTCTAGAAATGACTCATAGTTTTCTAAAGCATAGTCGAGCAAAAAAATTGCTTAGATATTTTAGATTAAAAGATCAGAAAATTCAATTATGTTTAACAGATCTCAGTTTAACGGATGGACTTTCTAAAAAGTACATTGACAATTCTTTAGATTTTTCATGTCATTTGAAAGACATTATATGAATTCTTTAAACATAAAGACGAAAATATATTTTGATTTAAATTTAAGGTTTTATTTACCAATTTCAAGTTTACATTGTTCTTTCTCCTATCTGAAAAAGAAAGTGCAAGCTAAGTGGTTTAATATTAAAACTAATGTTTCGCCTGATTTTGTTTTCTTATATTTTTAATTTGTGTATAAAGGGTCAAGGGCACAACGTGTCTAATATTTAGCTTGTTATCTTGGGATCGTGGCTTAAATTCTACAATTTTGCGTATCTAGGCAGCTAGGTATATATACCTTTAATTTAGGGGGTCAGGCAGGGTCAATTTAGGGTCAACTGTTTCCAGATTTAAACGTGAATTATTTTGTAATTTAAACCATTATTCAGTCATAACATTTCCTTTTGCAGAGTAATCATAAGGAGAAGGTTCCGAAATATTTTCGCTAAAATTTTAGGAAAATTAATATATTTTATTTTTAACACGAGTTTTTATGAATTGTATAATAGCTAGTTTGTACATTCTTTAGATAATAATTGTAAAAACATCAAAACAATAGATTTTTTATGATAACAAAAGTCTTAAATATAACGTTAAGGATTTAGGTGATTTGAATTTTATATTTTTTGGGGAAATGGGGGGACTTTTTAATTTGCATTTTTTTAACCACTTAGGATATCATGTGATCGTCTAAAAGTGTGTATGCAATCTACCCTCTCCGCGTGAAAGGTTTTGATTTATTTTTAAAACTTGGTATCAGATATGCATTTAATCATATACCTTCATAAATCATGCTCCATCCGCCTTTACTTTCCTAATTCAACATTTTTCCTTTTTTTCTCATGTTTTTCACTTTCCCTTCATCTCTGCGGCTACCCCTCTTGTATAATGAAATTCAAGCCCCGCCTTTATGTGCATTTAAAATGCATACTGAGCTCTGGTATACAATGGTTCGACCAAAATGATTCATAACTTTCTCTCTAAATAATTTCCATTGTCCCCCCACACAATCAATCCTCACTTTCATTTAATCAATCGGAATTTCTAGAGGTATAACTTGTAAAATTTAAAAGTATACGTTTTCGAATTTTAAATCTTTGATCTTTTTCAAAACAAACCCTAAATTAAATTTGTTTTCCTCCTTTCTCCAAAACATTGACCAACAGTTTTTTTAATTCATAACTTTTAAAAATTATCTAAACGTTTAAATGGAAAGTATAGATTATGTTGTGGCAAAATGTAAAGTTCGAATGAGGTTCGTTTATTTTAGAATTGATTTGTTAGATTATATTTTGGTTCATCCTCAACTTCTTAGCTCTATCCTTGTCCCTCATTGAACAGTAATGCTTAATATAATGGTCGGATAATACGGCAATAAAGAGCCCTTTCATCTTAAATAGCATGTATGCTTTAGGCAACCAAGGATCATTTGTAATTCCCCATAGACATATCGTAAGATGGTAAAGGAAGGATTTTAATCTGATCTAGAATAATTTTCATATTTCTCCAGATGAAACCTGTGAAACCGTTACAAAACTAGAGTTTCAAAAGGCTATCTTGATAAAAAGCAAGAACCCCCCTGAAGGCTGAAATTCGTGCCGTCTGACCCCACCTAAAAAATGTTAAAACAACGTGTCGTGTCTCCAAAAGTGGGCGGATTGCAGGATTATTTGGACCGGGACCAATGGAGGGCGTGTACAGAACTAAAGGTAGACTGAGGGCAGGACCTGGAATGCGGGAGAAAATATTTGCAAATGCGCAATTATTTCTTTCTCCTGCACTTCTTGTGCATATTCCGCATGCCACATCTCCCACCCAGTATTTGGGATTGCTTCATCTCTAACATCAATTTTCAGCACGAAGTATTCTAAAAAAATATCTTTTTTCTTGTCTTTGCAAATGACCGACCGCTATTCCCAATTTATCTTTAATTCTTTTATTTTGAATATCCCATCTGATGTTTTCTTTTGAACTTTCTTCTCTACACTCTTTCCATCTTTCCTCCTATCATCCTATCCTCTCTCTTTATCCTTCTTTTTCTTTCCAAACTTCCTCCTCTCTCTATCCCTCCTTCTCTCTACACCATTTTTTCCTTCCGTCTCGCACCATCCTTCCTTCCGCTTCTTCCCTCCCTTCTTCCTATTCCTCCCTTCCCCCTATATCTATTCCTCCCTTATTTCTACCTATTCCTTCCTTACTCCTACATATTCTTCCGTCCCTTCCTTCCTATTCTTCCCTCCCTCCTTCCTATTCTTCCCCTCATTCCATTCTAATCTTCCCTCCCGGCCTCCTTCCTATTCTTCCCTTCCTCCCTTCTGGTTATATATCCATTAAATGGTTTCTACCAAACCTTGGCATCGTACACCAGGTTTACAAGTAAGAAAGTATACAAGAACACTGTAATACGTCTCCGGGTTAAATTAGGGGTTTGTCATACTCATAATGCCAAGATGACAGAAGAGACGAGAACAGAGATAAACAAAAATACGGAATATTGTAGGATGGGACAGAATTAAAATTTACGAATTAGATTATAATTCAACTTAATGCAGTAGTTTTAAATCCAATTTTACAATTTCTATTTTCTATTTCTTTGAGGCAAATCAGTCAAGGGGTTCCTGAGTTTTGATTAGACATACAAACAAACAGACAAACATCTAGAGATAAACAAATCGCTCTATACAGAACAGTATAAGAAATACAGTATAAAGGACAATGAATGAAAAAGAAAACATAAATTCTAGTTTTTGAAACAGAGAAAATAATTTGAAAAAAATCTTACTTAATTCTGTCATCTCGGATATAAAATGTCACTAACCTAAGCTCATATTCTTAAATATAAATAATGGAATTGGCAAATTTTAGGGACAAACTCTGATCAACAAACTAAGGAAAATTGGTCAAAAACTAGATTTACTGAAAACTATGAATAATTCATTCCACCGAAATAAAAGATTACATAGATAATACAAGATATAGTTTCACATCTATTTCCTTGTTCTATCCTAGTAGTCTGTCCTATAGTTCCACATCTATTTCCTTGTTCTATCCTTGTAATCTGTGTGATAGTTCCACTCCTAGTGCCTTGTTCTATTCTTGTGATCTGTGCTATAGTTCTACTCCTAGTTCCTTGTTCTATATTTGTAATCTGTGGTATAGTTCCACAACTAGTTTCTTGTTCTATCCATGTAATCTGTGGTATCGTTAGACTCCTAGTTTCTTGTTCTATCCTTGTACTCTGTAGTATAGTTCCACTCCTCGATTTTGACCCTTCCCTTCATTTATCAAAATAAACTATTTCTGTGTTTTGTCCGACTAGAGAACTAGCCAACCCTGCTCAACCATTAATTCAAAGTATGTTTACATGAAGGGAGACACGGTATTTAACTAGGGTCAAACTTCTGTATCCCCGCTTTACAAATACCGGGGAAAAGGAAGGCGACTTCTTTATATTTTTATAAAAGCACGCGACAATTATGAATTGTTCTTGTTACTGGTTCATTGTCTTGGAGAAGTAGATATTTATCAGGCGCTAATAATAGCTTCTAAACGCTGTGAATATTTTATTTTAGCTCGTCAATCTATTTTATTTTGGTGGCCACTGTTTAAAACATAGAATGATTATTTACACATATTTTCATAAATCTCCTAGAATATGATTAAGTATATGCCTTGTCGTAAAACACTGTACTTCACGAAAAACTAAGAGATGAATATTTTATTGGAAAAGAAATTAAAAAGAGAAATTATTAATCTCTCATTTTGTTTTTTAAATCTTAATTATAAACCATTTTTTTGACAAATCTTAAATATTTTAGGTGATGAGATTTTGTGTGTGAACGGTCAACCACTACAGGGGCTCAGTCATAACGAAGCAATTGCGGCATTCAAGCATATCCGGTCAGGACCGGTCATCTTACAGTGCTCTAGGAGGTCAAGGTCTAGGTAAGAATAAACAGGTTAATTAAAGTAAATATTATGAAAGTTAATAAAAAAAAGTTTTGAAATTGATAAACTGAAAAAAATCTTTTTATTTAAGGTTGTCTACTCCTAAGTCTCGTTCCTGTGAGGACATTCTTGACACAACTTCAGAGGAGTAAACAAGGAACCATTTTCAGAACTTTTTAAGTTTTTAGAGGAAAAATATAAACTCCATAATTTTTCCATCCCTCCTGAACTCTAGTGCTATAATTAGTCAACTAAAATTATGATTTATAATTATTAATATTTTCAGAAATATATATTTGCACATTATTCTTTATGTTAACAGATACAAAGGAACTGAACATCAAGATACAATTTTATAATTCCATATATATATTTGCAACCTGCAGGTGTAAACTTTTTATATTTCAAACTTTGACTGTTGAATCTAACAAAAGAAAGAAAGAAAGAAAGAAAGAAAGAAAGAAAGAAAGAAAGATAGAAAGAAAGAAAGAAAGAAAGAAAGAAAGAAAGAAAGAAAGAAAGAAAGAAAAAAAGAAAGAAAGAAAGAAAGAAAGAAAGAAAGAAAGAAAGAAAGAAAGAAGGAAAGAAAAAAAGAAAGAAAAAAAGAAAGAAAGAAAGAAAGAAAGAAAGAAAGATAGAAAGAAAGAAAGATAGAAAGAAAGAAAGAAAGAAAGAAAGAAAGAAAGAAAGAAAGAAAGAAAGAAAGAAAGAAAGAAAGAANTTCAAGAAAAGTTCCCCCCCCCCCACACAAACACGCGCCAATCCACATCTCTCAGAATTTATGATTAAAACATTTTTCTTGCCAATTCATTCATTGTAAATCTACAATATAGTGATGTGCATTGTTTAGATATTTATCTCTCATCTAGTGATGTGCATTGTTTAGAGATTTATCTCTCATCTAGTGATGTGCATTGTTTAGAGATTTATCTCTCATCTAGTGATGTTCATTGTTTAGAGATTTATCTCTCATCTAGTGATTAAAGAGACTGTAGGCGTATTTAAAGAGACTTAGACGTATTTAAAGAGACTGTATGCGTATTTAAAGAGACTGTAGACGTAGTTAAAGAGACTGTAGACGTATTTAAAGAGACTGTATGCGTATTTAAAGAGACTGTAGACGTATTTAAAGAGACTGTAGGCGTATTTAAAGAGACTGTAGACCTACTTAAAGAGACTGTAGACGTATTTAAAGAGAATGTAGAGGTATTTTCAAGGGACCCGGCCCCAAATTTAGATCGTTGCATATCGTCGTAGTCGTATATATCAATACAATGAAGAAGACTTTCGATTTAAATTTAAAATTTCTACCAAGCTTTCAAACATTATGGATAAATAAAAGCATGGAAACAAAGAGAAGCTGTCAATTAACTAAAGTTTTCAAGGTACCATTGTGTACCATACACGTAACTTTTATAATTTGTGGACCTCTTGAAATTACGTTAACAGTCCCTTTAAAATACATTATATAAACCCCTGCAGTTAAGCACTGTTCACAAAAGACCTTAATAATGAAGATATCTATTAAAATATTTGTGTAAATATTTCATGATACAATAATATTAAAGTATTTTTTAAATATCAAATCTTATTTCACGCCTGGTTTAATATTCTTATTCTTTGTTAAATAAATACAACTTGTGTTTTCATACTCTAAAATAGGAAGACAACTTCCACACTCAAGTCATGACTTTAAATAGTCAAATGAGTATGGGACACAACAGTTATGCAGTATAAACAGACCTATTTTACCTAATAAGTGATTTCATAAGTGTATATCAAAACCATTTGCTTTGTAAGATCATCAAATACGCTGAAATATTCCTATAAAGTCGTCATTCTATATTCAGAGTTTTCTGGTTATCACTGTATAATAAATACACGCGATAAAGTTTTAGGTTACGGAACAGAACAGAGCAACCAAATAAAATTTACAATACCTTCTGTTGTAAACAAAAATCTTCAGAGCTGGGAACTTTAGAAAGGGATACCTTTAATCCCGAATGCTTATTCCGAATATCCAATGTGGACACTTTTAATTTCTTGCTTAATCTTTTCTTTTTTGGATATAGTGGAGAAAAATCAAAAACCGGTTTTCAAAATTAGAGAATCCCTCCCGTTTCTGTACATTAATCCTAAATTGCGACCAAAATTTTAAATTTCCCGGCTTCTGATATGCGACACTGATTGGTTGAATTCTATACACTTTTTAGGATACAAGAACAAGATTAGGTTAGTCTCGAGATTAAGAAAAAGAGAGGATCAAGCATTAATCTCGATATCCACCATTCTAAAGTTTTAGCTCATATAAAACAACATTTCATGAATTTTTGGAAATATTTTAATTATGATTTTTCATCTCCGCGGAGTTCGATGATACAAAAAATGATACATTTCCGTCAATCAAGTGATTTCTTCCGAGGTTCGTTAATCTTGGAACACTCGATCTCGATATATAATATGGGTACTTTTCAATTTGACGATAAATAATTGATCCCTAAATTAAAGTTATCCCTGCAGGATATTACTACCCGGGATATCGAACTTTTGCGTTGTGAATATCGGGATCAAGCATTGATAGCATTAATCAAGGGGACAAGCCTTTATCCTCAAATTTAAAAGTGCGAACGTTGGATATCGAGATAAAGCGTTAAATATTTTCATATTCTGCATCAACATTAACATATCAACATGTGTTGATGACATTTTTGTATTACTGTAATCGGATTAATTTATTTGAGCCAGGTCTAGAGACGGTTCAACCACGTATCTTGAACCGGTGATTCGGGATTTGTCCAAGTTCTATAGACGATAAATAAACTGAAGAGCTACAGATACGTATTTGAATCGACGGTATGCATAGTTCAGCGACCTAGCTCAAATTCATTAGATTCGGTCCCTGATGACTTTTTTTTATAATTTTTTTATTATGACAAAAAGCAATCATTTCGATTGTGTAACTAAAACCCCATTCCACGTACATTTTTAACGAGTACGGTATGAAACCTGCACAACGCATATATATATATATATATATATATATAGCGGGTTTAAAGAGATATCGTCTTACTTCAAGTGTTCTCTATGAATGTAAAACAATGTCATAAAATGTAAAATCCAACCGAGTTCAGATTGAAATCTTGACATGTTAATTCATCTAAAATAATGCAAATACCTGCATCCAATGCATGGCAGATTGCAAATGAAAACTGCACATGCAATTTAGATTTGTATTTTTACAAGGGTCAGAGATACTTTAATGCATTTCATTGGCTCGTGGAAAGAATGAGGAAAATTTTAGAAGAAATAATTCAATTCGTGTTTTAAAATAAATTTGATGATTGTTTGGTTTGATTGAAGCTGAAAACTGTTAAGATAATTGAACCAACCTTGGTCGAGCATCTAGTTCGAGCTAGGTTTGATTGAAGCTCAAAACTGTCAAGATAATTGAACCAACCTTGATAGAACATCTAGTTTGAGCCTGGTTTGCTTGAAGCTCAAACCTGTCAAGATAATTGAACCAACCTTGGTCGAGCATCTAGTTTGAGTCTGGTTTGATTGAAGCTCAAAACTGTCAAGATAATTGAGCCACCCTTGGTCGAACCTCTAGTTTGAGCCTGGTTTGATTGAAGCTCAAAACTGTGAAGATTACTAAACCAACCTTGGTCGAGCATCTAGTCTGAGCCAGGTTTGATTGAAGCTCAAAACTGTGAAGATTATTAAACCAACCTTGGTCGAACATCAAGTTTGAGCCTGGTTTGATTGAAGCTCAAAACTGTCAAGATAATTGAACCAACCTTGGTCGAACATCAAGTTTGAGCCTGGTTTGGCCTTATAGGAGGTTTACTTGAAAGGGATTAAGACGTGATTGTAAGTTGCCCTCGCAAATGAACTGATTACTAGTCACAAACTCAGACTTTATAATCCCTATATCTTTGGAGCCTGACGAAAACTATGAATTTTGCGAGAACAATGGTTTAATTCATCAGAGCTGAAAACTTTAGAATGAAATATCCAGATATCCCGTCGAATAATTAAACTGGAGTTTAAATTCATGTGGAGAACAAGCAATATTTAATCTGGATATTAAGAAAAGGAACTCTGAATTATGATATCCAACACAAAAGTTTTCAGCTCAGGTTGCAAAGATAGAGATGCAGTATGATTTTCAGGAAATGTAACAATGTAAAAATATAAGTATTTACTCATTATCAGTATTATTATTAGATCGGGACATCTTGAATTTTGACACTTTTTGTAAAATGAACCTGGTGAAGAGTCAGATTGAAACCCTAGAAAACCACCAAAATTACTCCTTTATAAGAAATGAGGGCAGGGCAGGAGGAGTGGAGGAAGTAAGAAAAAAAATTCAGAAAAAAATTCTTTTCAAAATCACCGCAGTCAGTTTCGGGCAAAACTCAATTTTTTGTATTTTTTAAAATGGCTTTGTTAATCAAATGTAGAGCAGGTTTTTCACAATGAAGGATAAGATAAACACATCAAATTCTAAAACCTCATTTTTTGGGGTTAATAGATAATGTCCAGATATAATCTACATAATTTAAAAAAAATAAAAACCACAAGACTATAGGAATTTTAAAATTAAAGTTTGAGGCGATTGATCATTTGCTGTCTCACTCCAAACCGGGATTCATTATCTGTAGAAAAGAAAGAAAAGAAAAATTACTCATTCAAGGCTAGAAAGAAGAAAAAGATGTCACTACTGCCAAATGTTTAACATATGCAGAAACCCTGCACTCTGCAGTTACATTTAATTTTGTATAAATTGTAAGACGTATAATAAAATTTTACATTTTACAACAGAATAAAAAGTTTTCATAACAAATATTAGACCTTATTCTGCCTCTTGTTCCAAAAAAGCCGCCTCTTGTTCCAAAAAAGGCGCCTCTTGTTCCAAAAAAGGCGCCTCTTGTTCCAAAAAAAGCGCCTTATGTTCCAAAAAAGCGCCTCTTGTTCCAAAAAAAGCGCCTCTTGTTCCAAAAAAAGCGCATGCCCGACACACAACGGTAGGCTAATATCCTGTATCATTAGCACTGATCAAAATATCCACGCTTTTTATTATACAAATTATATAAATCTATAAATTTTCTTCCTCGTTTCTGTTGCATAAATCTTCCAGTCAATTATAGAAAGATAGAGAAACGAGAATATCTTTAAAAAATTTTCTCGAAGAATTTTTGTGAAAATAAATGATTATTTTTAAGTTACGCCAGCATCCCAATTGATGTGTAATTATTAAGAAAATTATATTCACAAAAATACATCCACAATTAAAAAAATATTCA